CTGTCTGTTTGTTGTTGTCTGTCCTGTCGGGGTGTAGGGGTGTCCAGCGGTGGGTTCACGTGAAGGTCGTAGTGGTCGCTCACTTGCTTGCAGGTGAGACTACGCCTAGCGTCCATTTGCTGGCACGCAACTCTCACCTGTGGCTCCACGTAGCTGGGCTCTGCTCAGCGGACACACCCCGGGCAACCGCCTCGACCGGCGGGCTAAACCAGGTGAGGGCGCTGTGCGCTTGTGCCGCGTGCACAGTGTACTGCGGGCTCCGCTGGACGTTTGGTCGGATAAAACGTTGCGCCGGCGTCGCCGAGACGAGGCTCTGCCTGGTACGCCGTTGGACAGCTGCTGCCGGGATGGTTCCCCGCATCGCCTTCGCTGAGACGCGCCCACCTACGCCGACGGAGACCGCAGACCTCGGCATATGCGGTCGTTCTCCACTACAAACATAAAGTCGTGGTCCCATAGTGGGATTCGGTCGCGCCAAACAGGCACACAGGCCGTCAGATTCGGGGGGCACTGCCTGTCCCCATTACGGGGGAGGGCCTAGAAAAGGTGGCCTAAACATTGTTGGGCACCACGCCGTCTCCAGGCTAGCCAGGGCCGCAGACGTCTAAACATGGTCGAAACACTCAAAACCGAAACAACAACAACAACAACCATACTCCTTCTCCTCATCCTACCTCTTCTTCCTCTACCTCCGTCTATTCTTCTGTATATTCTTCTCCTTCGTCGTCTTCTTCTCCACCTCCTTCCCGTCGCCCCACTCGTTCTCTCCAGACTGGCAGGGTGAGCCCGCTCACTCTGGCAGCCTGGAATGTTCGTTCCCTTTCAGACAGTCCGAGGAGCAACCGATCGGAACGGAGGACGGCGCTAGTGGCACGAGAACTGGCGCACTACAAGGTGGACATCGCCGCACTCAGCGAGACCCGATTCTCCGAACAAGGCCAACTGGAGGAGGTGGGTGCCGGTTACACCTTCTTCTGGAGTGGTCGACCCAGGGCAGAGCGACGAGACGCGGGTGTCGCCTTCGCCATCCGGACCGACATCGTGGGAGGACTGCCCTGTTTGCCGCAGGGAATCAACGACCGCCTGATGAGTCTCCGCCTGCCTCTCCGGCGAGGAGGCAAGTTCGCCACCATCATCAGCGCCTACGCTCAACCGATAACCAGCCCTGATTCCGCGAGAGAGAAATTCTACGAGGACCTGCACGCCCTCTTGTCGACTGTGTCGAAGGCGGACAAGTTGATTGTCCTTGGTGACTTCAACGCCCGCGTCGGCACAGACCATACTGCCTGGAGAGGTGTGCTGGGTCCTCACGGTCTCCGCGGCTCCAACGACAATGGTCTGCGGCTTCTCCGCACCTGCGCAGAACACCGCCTCATCCTGACGAACACGTTCTTCTCTCTGCCGGAGAGAGAGAAGGCCACCTGGAGGCATCCTCGGTCGCGTCAGTGGCACCTGCTGGACTATGTCCTCGTCCGGAGGCGAGATCAGCGGGACGTGCTGGTGACGAAGGCGATCGCGGGTGCTGACGGGTGGACCGACCATCGCCTCGT